GAGAGAGAGAGAGAGCGCATTGTTAACAATAAGCTTATAAATTATCCGCTCGGAATTATATATTTTTAGGATGTTTTATATTACAGCTTAATTTATCCTTCGATAAGAAATTTTAAAATCTATCAATGCTATCCAAATTTTATTTATCGTATAGATTGAAGAGAAAGCAAAGCTACGACATTGTATACAAAGATATACACAATATTTTCTTTATAAAAGTTTTTTTTCTAAACGTCAACATATAATGCATATTGAATTTTCATGGTTGTTTGCAAATTTAAGGACAATCGGATAAAAATTATATTTGTACGATTTACGTCTAATTGTAAAATGTCATGACAAAATTAATCCATGACAGATATCCATGACATAAATTTAATAATCTAACAGATCAAAAGTTCTACACACAAATAGAACACTCGTACAGGAAAATCAGTCACGTAACTAATTACCACGTGCAAATTATCTTTGAATTTTCAAAGAAAATTCAAAGTTGTTTTAATTTGACGCTTCCCAGCAGGTCTTCCAAGCTTACATTTAAAACAATCGATTGGCTACTAATTTTTGAATTGAGAAGATAAATTAGATCGAAGATAAATTAGAATTTTGGGATATCGTGAGAAGTAACGGTATAAAGAAGAATTTTGTCCGGGGATAAGAAGATGCATACCGTTTCGGGGGTGATGCGCGCTATCTTGTTGCGAGCGAGCTCAGAATATTCTATTTGCGAATCTCCTCGATACTCCGGAACGCGAAAGAATTTCTCGTATCGCACTTGGTGAGAGCCAGCTTGAAATTCATATCTATGCTAAGCGCGTGGCGCGTTTGGGTTTAGTGCCTTCCGCATCGTACCTTTATATTGCGGCAGATTCGGTAATTTCGCGCATAGCGATTCCGCTTAAAGTCGACGGATGGTTCGATTTTTGTTTGAGGCGAGGGATGAATTTCTTCTTTTCCTGAACGGGACTCTCTTATACAGAGAGAGCTCCGTAATTTGAGAAATTCGGCGAGAATTTCGGAGAGCACAACTCGCTACGCGAGGGTGAGAAATTTGGGAAAGCGTGAAACGATACCCGGCGATATCTTCTCAAAGAAGAAATTAAATGACGATCCTACGGATCGAGAAACGTTCCCCCAAAATTCTTGGAATAATAAAATATCTGGAATATCTAGGCGAGGCGTAATCGGCTTTCAGCTCCCGAAACGTGCAATCTCCTTCTGAACGTACTGCAATTCTCGATTTTTAATC